GGGGCGGGGGGGCAGGCAGCCAGGGGGGGCTCACCTCCCTGTCCCAGGGAGAACCAGCACTGGCCACCAGAGGCCAGGCCTTGGCCGAGGCCATAGGGTGTGGGGCAGCCGGGGCAGCTGCCTGGGGCCCGGAGTCAGGGCGGAGGCCATGGGCCTGGCGTCCAGGATGGCAGGGGGCAGCAGCCCCCCCGCCTCTGCGACCGTGAGCTGGGTGGGAGGGGGCTGAACGGAGGGAGGGGCAGCTGGAGGAGGAGGCCGTTCAGCTGGCCCCCGAGGGGATGCCGGTCTCAGCACCAGTGCCGGCCGTGTCTGTGGTTCTGTGCCCTCCACGCGGACGAAACGACAGAGAGGAGACTGTTCGGGGCTCCGGCCTCCGCTGGCATCAGCTCACCAGGTAGCTGTGCATCTCGCGGGAGTTGATGCTCAGGACCACCCCCGAGTGGTTCCCTAGGAAACAGAGATGCCCACTCATGAGCCACGGGCCCATCAGCGGGAGGGCAGAGAGAGACGAGGGACGGGGGGCCGTGCGGGACACAGTGGCGGCCTCGGCAGACGCCACGGAGCCAGTGTGCTGTGGGCAGTCCGTGGTTCCTTTGGCCGTGCGGGTCGTGCCTGAATGGGGTGCGGAGGTGGTGGGGTCTCCGCGTGTCCTGGTGGGTGACAGAGGGGGTTCTCCCAGTGCCGTCACAAGCAGTGGACCCCACAGGCCTCCAAAGGTAAGCTGAAGTTGGCCACCACCCACTGCCCCACTGACCTGCAATGGGGCCAACCTGGTCATCAGCAGCAGGGGGGTGCAGGAGGGGCTCCGTCCCCTCCAGGGAGTGGGCACTGCAGGCCCCGTGTGGGACAGCCCGGGAGGCGGCAAGGGGAGAGACGGGGCAATGATGGTCAGAGACTCTGTCCCTTATGAAACCAAGGGACAGAGCCGTGGCTGCTTGTGAGGGGCGGGGGCCACCCTGGGAACCGAGGCTCGGACTGTGGGTCCGACTCCAGTGCCCTCCAGACCAGCTGGGTGACCCAGGACAGTGCATCGCTGCACCTCGATGTCCTCGGCTGCTGAAGCGAGGGCCTCCACGACAGGCCTGGAGCCTCAGTTTACCTCACGGGAGGGAGGAGCCTGTGCGGTGGCAGGGGACCTCCTCCGGTGTGGCCCAGCCCCTCCCCCGCCGTGGACAGAGTCCGTGTCCCCTGCTCCTGGACAGACTGGCTGCCCCCGACAGAGCATGACGCAGGTGACAGCCAGGGCCACCATGGAAGGCGAGGCAGCTGTCTCTCTCTCCCTAGCTGCGCTGGGAACTCGGCACCATGCTGAGAGGGAGCCCAAGCCACGTGGAGGCCACGGGCAGGCGCTGGGGGACAGCCCCAGCCGGGCCCTTAGCTGGCCGTCCACATCAATTCCAGACACCAGAGGAAGGACACCTCAAGACAATTCGACAGCCATCGACAGCAACCTCACGACAGACCCGGGGAGGGGGCCGCCTGGCTGAGCCTGGTCACCCCAGAGCCACGGGAGAACACGGCGGGTAAGGAATGTGACGCCCTGCGCTGCGGGGTGTGCCGGGCAGCACACGTGACCGGGAGTGAAGGTGATCCCGGTAAGGAAGATGCTCTGTCAGCTGTGAGGCTGTCATGCCCGTGGTCGGGGCTCACGAAATCGTCATTCCCAGTGCGCCAGAGGGCGGGGAGCTTGAGGGGGTGACTGTGGGGACAGCCCCCGCTTCTTCGTGGAGGCCAGCCCGCCCCCCTCCTCTCCCCGCCCTCCGAGCATTCAGGGGCTGCCAGGCGTGCTGGCCTGGTGGCCACAGGCCTCGTCCCCTCATCAAGTGGAGGGGACGCGCTGCTGGGTCTGCCGGCCCGAGTCCCGTGTGCTCTGCTGGCCGAGGTGGCAGGGTGGGGACGTGGGGCGTGGGGAGGCGGGATTCGCGGGCACTGTTACCTAGAGTCTGCGAGTCGAGATCATCACCTACAAACCCCTCACCCTGGACGGCGCTCTGCCGGCTGGCGGGGCTGGTCATCTCCTGCTCCTTCTCGTTGCGCATCTGGGCGTACACGGTCCTGCCCGGGCGTTTCCTGCAGGGCGGGCGCAGGTGGGGTTCAGGCTCTGCCCCCTGCGCGTGGCGCTGACCTGCTCCGAGCCACCTCCCCCAGGAAGCCCTCCGTCCCGTGAGCCCCCGCGGCCCCGGGTCTCCCTGCTTCCAGCACCCAGCTGCCTCGGTCTGGTCCGTTCGTCCATCTCCCTAGACCGAGGACCCGTGCAGGGAAGGGGTGTCTCACTCTCCTGCTGCCCCGTCCCCCAGCAGCCCTGGGAGGGCGGCGCCCTGGGCTCTGGCTGGGTGAGCGGGCGCCCAGTCCCACGGGACGCACGTGCCCCCAGCTCTGAGAGGCACTGCCTGAGCCCTGCCCGGTTCCGACCCCTGGTGTGGGGTAGGTCACGTGACTAGCTCTGTCCACTGAGGATGAGCGAAGGTGGCACGTGCCACCTCCAGGCTGGGACATTCACACACCGACTCAAGTCCATCCTGAACAACCCTCGTCCTCTGGCGTGGCACCAGCCTTGCCGGAAGTGGCCCTGCTCTGTCCGTCCGGGCCCTGCCACACGGAGCACGAGACCCCAGCCTTTGGTGGCCGCGAGCCACTGAGCCTCCAGGGCCGGTCGTCGTGGCAGCCCAGCCTCCCACCCTCCCCCGCGCTGATGCTGGGCCAGCGGGACCCGCCCCGCCTGGGCTCCCAGGGCGGCAGTGCTGGGGGGCACGGGGCGCTTCCCTCCACCGCCAGCCCAGGCTCCGGGGAGCACGCTGCACCCATGGCTGTGCCCACGGCGTCCATGGCAACCCCTCCCGCCAGTAAGGCATGGGTCATTCAGCAGTGTGCCAGGTACCCCCGACGCTTAAGCCCTCGCCTCTCTGGGGCGCCTTGGGGGCCCCACTTAGGGTCCCCCCTTCCTCTTCTGCCCCTCCTCTGGGTACCAGGTGGCAGCTTCCTCCGGGATCCTTTACAGCACGCACAGTAAATCTGGAGCGATCTGTGGAAACTGCAGTCTGGCCCGCAGGGGGTCTGAAGGATGCGATTTAGAGACCAGAACTCTGTTCTTTTCACATAACTCCCGCCTCCTGCTCCCCAGGCAACTCCTGCCGCCCTGCAGTGTGCTGGACAAAGCGCCAACGAGCACCTGCGCCCAGCCCCAGGTCCAAGGTGGGGGGAAATGGGGAGGGGGGCCTCCAGACACTGGCCTCCTACACGGCTGACTTGGGTCTGCCGCCTCGCCTTCACACACACCCCAGGCCCCACAACAGGTCTCAGCCAGACAGGAAGGGGGACTGGAAGCTGCATGGGGGCTCCACAGGGCGGGCGTCCTGCCTGTGCTCGGCAACTCCCAGCCCCAACCTGCCTCTTCAGCGTCAGCATCAGCATCAGCACTGCGGCCCCAGCACCTGGCCCAGCGTCCACCCGCACCGAGGAGGGACACGCATGGAACGACCACTCAGAGGGCTGATGCCCATCTGGGACGGCTGGCAGGGTCTGGCGGGGGCGAGTGGGTCCAGGGCCCTGGGACGGTGGGGCTCGGGGAGGGACCCCCGGCTTCGGAGAACGTGAAGGAAAGGGTGAGCCGTGTCTCTGGACTGTCCCCAAGGGCAGCCATGCCCAGGGAGACCCTGAGGCTCTGAAAGCTGAACCAGCAAGATGGGGAGAAACAAGGGGGGCAAATTTCAAGGCTGTGTTTTGCAGGAAACACATCTGGTGACACTTCTTGGTCCTTTTGCTTGTTCCAAGGTCCAGAATCCAGGTAAATTCAGATTCACCAGCCTCAGCATGAGGCCCCGCCCATTGCCACCCTGGACACGGATGCCCCCCTCATCCGGAGCCCCCTGCTCCCCAGAGATGGATGAGCACTGGAAGACCACGGGACATGGGATGGACGGGCCTGGTCAGAGCCCCATTCTGTCCTCTGCTGTGTGGCTCTGGGCATGTCACCTAACCTCTCTGAGCCTTGGCATCCTCGTCTGTAAAATGACGGACGGTGGGCTCCCTCTGAGGAGGGGGGAGCAGAGGGGAGGATGGGGAAGAAGATGCTGGGGCCCTGAGGGGCACTCGGAACCAGGGACAGGTCAGAGCGACGCCTCTCCTGCAGCCCACTGTGGGTGCAGACTCACACCCCCTCGTGCTGGGGAGACCAGGTGGCCTTGCCTTTTGAACTTGTAGAGGATGAAGGCTCCCACCACGAAGAGTCCGATGACAAAGAGGACGGCCACCGCCCAGTAGCCACTGCTCCTTCCCAGCCTCTGAGCACCTGCAACACAGCAGCCATTAGTGGCAGCGTAGACAGCGGCCAGTCCCAGGGTGGCTGAGAGGGACCAGCAGGCCATGTAGGCGGAGGGATCCGCTCTGGGCCCAGACTCCTGCTGTGTGCATGCAGGCCCCGGTCCTCCCTCCGGCCAGGGCACAGGGGACAGAAGGCCTCTGCCCATGTCTGTGCTGCATGGGGTGACCTGCCAGCTCTCCCATGGACGGGCAGAAAGTTGTTCTCCAGCTTCTACAAAGATTCTTGTCCCAAAGGGGACAGGACATACTTGTGAGGACAGTCCCATGGATGGGGGTGGGGGGGCGAGACCATCCGACACCCTCAAAATCAGAGTTCCCTGCCCCATCTGCAGAGCAGTGTGAGGCGCAGGGCTCCGTCCCCATCCCTGCGGTGATGGGCATCACCGGAGGGGCCTGCACGTACCCCGACTCCCTGCAGGCCACGCCCAGGCCCCGCAGGCCACGCCCAGGCGGGGGGCAGAGCCACGCCCACTCGGTCAGCGCAGCACCGGCACTAGCCCGCGTCCCCATGGAGGAGGGGCACACACGTGGCTACTTAAAAGACCAAACGGACGCAAGAAGCAGCCAGGAGGGCCTGGAGGGGGGCGGGGGTGCAGGGCTCGCTCTCACCTGTGTCTGCCTCCCTCTCTGCCACCAGGACGCGGACCCCGCCCCGCAGGAGGAAGCTGATCTTCTGTGCGCTCAGCACCTGCCGGATGGCCGTGAGTCTCTGCAAGCCGAGAGGGGAGTGAGGGCCCGGAGCACGGAGCGGGCAGGGCGGGGCGGCCCGTGCTCCGCCAGCCCAGGCTTCCCCGGGGCTCAGGAGGGAACTGGGCCTGCACGGACGCTCAGGTGTCGCCGTGCACAGGTGGGCGCAGGGCCATAGGAGGAAGGAGGCCTCTGAGGATGCAAGTCCCTGCCTGGGACACTCCCTGGGGACCCTGCGAGCTTGGCGAACCGTTTTGGCACCAGCGATTCGGGGAGGCCGGCTCCCCGCTCACGGGGTGCGGGAGCCACCTCTGTCCTTGGGGACAAGCCACAGCCCAGCTCGAAGGCTGGAGATGCCTGGGCCTGGCACATCCTGAGAGAGCTGCTGCGCCTCTGTTAGGAGGGTCGACCGGAGGCTCCGGGGGACGACTGTGGTGTCACTCTGTCCCTCCATGGTTGACTTTCGGAAGAAGGGCCGAGCCATTCCACAGAGGCCACAGTTCACGCCCCCAGCAGAGCCTCCACACCCTCCTTGTCACTAGAGACTGTTTCTTTATAAGGGACTGCAGCCCCCTGGTGTGTGGCAAGTGGTTCCGGTCATCTTTGAGTCCCCCGGCCAGGCCTGTCACACAGCAGGCCCTTGTTCCCGGGAGAGGGCCATTACTTGGGCGTCGTCCCGTGCATTAAAGACCTTGCTGAGGCCGGACCTCTGGTCTGTCCTCACAGCCGTACCCCAGTGTCCTGCACCTCCAGCAGCCCCCCGTGAGGTCAGGGCCATGTGACCAGCTTCAGCTGGTGAAAGGGGAGAGGAAGTGGCGTGTGTCCCCCCCGGGAAGGTGGGCCTGCCCCAGAGCCCCCATCCTCCGCCCACCATAGGGACCTCGAAGGCCACGTGGGTTCCCGAGGGTGTGGCCACACATGGAAGAGGGCCAGCACCCGCGTCGGACTGACTGGCGAGAAAGGAGGCTTTACGTGACAACGAGCCGCGGGGGTTTCTGTGGCTGTGATCTGCCACCAAGCCCTCGGTGGGGCAGGAAGCACCGGGTCTAGTGGCCGCGGGAGATACCTTGTCACTCACAAGGCTCCTCTTCCTCGAGGGCCGGGGCGGGGGCAGGAGCACGTGCAGGTCGGCCAGGGTGGGCAGTCCCGGCCTGACCACGGTCACCAGCAGCTCCTCAGGGATGCCGGTCTCCTGCGGGGACACAGAGCAGCCATGCCGATGATGCGCGTCCTTGTCTGCCACACCGCAGGCCCTTGGGAGACCTTCTCTCCCCCTTGACCTGTCCAAGTCCTGGCCATCTGTCCTGCAAGCATTTCCGAGCGCTGCACGCCGTGGGGACGGCCCCAGAATCCAACTGCAGCCCTGTATCACCCAGCTCTCTTGGTCCCGTGGCCCTTTGTCCCCCAGGCCAGCCTCTACTCGACCAGGCCTGTCCCCTCCAGCCCACTCCTAACACCTCGGCCACTGCGAGCAGGCCCCTCTGCCTCCTGTGCTTCCAGATCCCTATTTGCCCCCGAGTGCCCAGGGCAATGTCCCCAGCATTATTAGTGGCAGGCCTTGGGTGAGTCTAGGGGGGCGGCCTTTCTCTCACGGGGGAGCCCAGGGCCTCGGCTGTCCTGTGCCCTCTCTGATGCACCGCCTTCGTCTGCTTCCTGTGACCTCCCGAGGGCAGTGGTGGGGAAGCCGTGGCGTCGGTGGCCGGGGGCACCTTGGAGAGGAGTCGGGTGACCACCAGGCCGACGTCCTCTCTCCACTCCGGGGTGTTGGGGTTGTGTGCGTCCAGGTCCTTGGAAAATTGCAGAGGCACAATCTGGTATTGATCTGGAAAGAGGCAGAGATGGTGCCGATCAGTCCTGCGCAGCCTGGCTCTCCCGCCAAGCAGGGGGCCCAGGACGGTGCCCGGGTTCAGATCCCACGGCCTCCTTTGGGACACCAGATCCCGCCCTGGGCGGGGACACTTCACCGGCTGCCGTCTTATCACAATAACGCCGGGGACGACAATGACAAAGCCAGCACTGACCGGGGAAGGAGGGCCTGGCGCGCGCCAAGCCTGCCCTGTGGGATTTGCCCTGTTAACTCACGAGGACACGTACTCACCCCACGAGGTCGGCTTCCGGCCCCCAGGACCCACGGGCTTTGACGGGGCCGCCCCACCCCGCAGACCGAGAGTCCCTGGAGAGCAGACCCTCCCTCCTCCTCTTTCTCTCGTATTTCCCAGGACCCCGGACTCAGAGGCCCGTCCTGGAGCCACAAGCACCGGAAGCCACAGCGAAGTCTCTCCATTTACCTCGGAGCCTCGGTTTCCTCACCTGGAAAGTGGGAGCAGGTGCCGTACGGGCGAGCGGCCCAAGGGGCAAGTGCTCGTGAACTGGGAACGCACCACCTTACGACGGGCGTCCACGGTGAGAGGCGAGAAGTACAACTCCCTGTTTGTAGATGACACGATGGTCTACACAGCAAACCCTAAGGGCTCCACCCAAAAGCCGTGAGAACTAACACATTCAGGAAAGCGGCAGGACACGAAGTCGACGTACAGAAACCCGCCGTGTTCCTATCCGCAGACAATGAACTACGAGAGCGAAAAATTCAGACAAGAATCCCATCTGTAATCGCATCAGGAAGAATAAAGCGCGTAGGGATGAACGTCACCAAGGACGTGGAAAGACCTGTGCCTCGAAAACAC